GACTCGTGTGCAAGTTAGAGGAGTTAGGAGTGACATAGCATGTGCGTGTGGGTGTGAAGAACATGGGACTCTTGTGATAGAGCAGGGGCAAATTAGATTGGAGAGGTAGGAAGTATATATGTCTGTATTAAGGAGGGATTTGTAGACATTTTCAAGCCTATATGCTGTTACAGTTTGGATAGCATAAAGGCTTGTAAACATTAGGAATAAACAAGAAAACCTGTGGGCTTTTTGAAAAGAGTCAGATCTGACTGTCATTTCCAGCAGAGGGGTGGCCATTGCCTATGGAAAGGGTCAGGCCTGCTGCTCCCAAGCATCATGATCCCAGCGTCCTCTCTTGCCTGCCTGGGTCCAGTTGCTTGGCATTTCTCACTGTGTCCCATCGGCATTTGGCTTTGTGACCTCAGTTTTCAAGTCTTGGATGCCATGCTGGAGAATGTGTGCTGCTGTCACAGGCCATGGGTGCCCCCCTCCCTGCCCCAAGGATTCTGGCAGGAGCCAGAGACTGTGGAATCCGAGGATTCCAGCACCATGCTTTGCTTTAGGCCAGTGAGCAGCTCTTGCTGGGGAGCTGCTGGCTGGGCCTTGGAAATATTTTCATGATGAACAGCATGGGATTTACTAGAGAGGGCTTTGCCTTGTCATCTAGAAATCGAGGCAGACTTCTAGGGATCTGAAGTTCTCTCCTGCCTCTACTTCTGGCTGGCGTGAATAGATTGTGGCTCCTGGCATGTCGCTCTGAAAGGGATGTTGGGGTTATGAGTTGGTGAGTTGTGAGTCACAGCTGTCAGTTGCCTTGTGACATTAGATTCTGAGATGCTTTGGTTCTGTGGGCCCATGAAAGAAGACCAAGGAGAAGCGGGAGCCCCAGCGGGGAAGGGTGCATAGTCTGGAGAGGTTCATAGTGGCTGCAGAGTAGCTGGCTCAAGCCCAGGTATTAATGCATATGGCTACAGAAGAGTAGGTGTGTTTGGGGCAGCTGGTGTGGGAAGTCTTTATGGCTGAGGACACTCTGGCTTTTCCCGGAGTCCTAACTACCCACCATTCAGAGCTCCTCCCAGGTGAGCTGCAGGTGATAGGGCCTGACCAATCGTTTCCCTGCTTTTTACAGGTAGGACAAAATTTACCTAAAAGTATTGCTTTTTTTTTTTTTTTAACACACAGATACAAGTTAGGAATTTTCTTAAAAGCATATGGCCATAGGATGCAAGGGTACCTAGAAGTCAGCTGAATTACATCAAGTTGAATCTATTTCCTGTTTTATGTGATGTTTTGCTTACTAAACCAGAAGGGAATGATGCAGCAGCTTTAGTAAAGTAGTTCACAGTTTCTTAAGATACACTTGTCTGTATTAAATCATAAGTAGTATGATTTAATAGTAGGGGCTGGGTGGTGGTATTGGTTTAATTTAGGGATCCTATGCAAACGCTGTTAGTTACTGGTGCAGAGTCAGCCTGGGAGGAGGTCAGAAAGTGAGCACCACAGGGCTCTGATTTTGGCTTGGGTTGGGTTGAGTATAAGGAAGATGTGTTTGTCTGATTTGGAGGCCCAGAGCTGGGAAGGACTGCTTAGTCTGTAGATAAATCAGAGTCATCTAGGATGAAGACCTCAAATTAAGAAGAAAAAGAGCTTATTACTTTCTTTGGGGGGGGGGGAAGAATACAGTCAAATATGGCAAAACAAAGCTGTCAGTCAATACCAAGGATAGACATAGCACATGGTGTAGAACAGAGTACAAGTTTATCAACAATGGTTATCAACGTTGTCCCTTGTTTCCTTAAGAAGAATTGTCTATCTTATTAGATATTATAAAGTTGGACAAAACAGTAGAGAACAAGACCAATAAAACTTAGGCATTGTAAACATTACAGGACTTCCAAAGAAGACAATAGTCAAACCAGAATGGGTATCTTAGTGAATCTTATTGTCTTCAAAGTAGTTGCCTATGTCTTCAAACTTGATACTATCATATAGAATGGAACAGAGTCTAATCAGTCAAAACAAGATCGTGGGAGTACTACAGGACTTCAAAACAAGTTAATAGGAAATCGAAAAGAGTTACTATTTATATATCCTAATTTTTTTGAATTTTTTCTTTAATTAAGACAAACATAAGAAATGACTAAATAATTTTTTTTTGAAACAATAAGGGGGAGATTGAGATAAAACAGGACATAACAATATAACAATAGAGGTCACAGCATGACTGTTTCAATAACCTAGTACTTCACCACCTTCCAAGATGTGTAAATTTTGTTGTAAAAAAGAGAGGGAAAAAAAAAAAAAGAAAAAGAGCTTTAACGGATATAACAGCAAGTGTGTTTGGGGGTGTTAAATAGCTGACTTTATCAATGTTTTTGGAACATTGAACACAGCTGTTTGCAGTCTCCCTGTTTGAATGTCCACCTTGTGTTCTTTGATACTGTGATTTGAGGAACTATTTTCAAGAAAATAGTGTGTAATCTACTAGCAGGTAATTTCTTACTGTTATGGTTTTTTGTTTTGTTTTGTTTTGTTTTGTTTTGTTTTGTAGTTCTGTATTGCGTGTACCCTTACGCCGCTTTGGTTTGTTTTGTGTTTTTCTCTTTTTCTTCTTAAATAAAAAAAAAAAAAAAAGAAGAAGAAAAACAGCCGGTGTGGCGGTGCACGTGTGTGATTCCAGCTAATTGGGAGACTGAGGCAGGAGGATTGCAAGTTCCGGCCCTGCTTGGGTAACTGTGAGCGTCTTTCTCTAAATAAATAAACAAATGGGGCTAACTAGGGTTGTAGCTCACAGCCCCTTCCCTCATTTCTGTAAAGAATAAATATAAAGCGTGGTTTAGTTTTACAGATTTGGGCCAAAATCTCAAGATGGCCAAATAGTCTAATAAGATAATTATTCTTCTGGGGATGTAGCTGAGACAAAACATGAAATATAAATGATATTTTTATGCACCCATCATTCAGATTTTTTAAAAACTCTAGTAGTAGCAACCTATATTTCCACTGGTGTGGGCTGGAGATAGTGGATAGGTGAATTCCAGTGGATGTGTCTTTAAAATGGAGGTTTATGAAGTTATGCAAAATAATATTTAGGAGCAATTTAAAAGATAACCAGGGAGGATGTTTCTGGTAAAAGTTACAGTGTGCCTACCATCTAATTCCAAAGGTTTAAAAAACATGCCTAGAAAATAACTGGAAGGAAGCGTCCTAATAATACCAAACCTCCTTGTTTCTAGATGGGTTGAGCTAAGTGACTTTCTCTTTTTCATGCTTTTAAATTTATTATTTGCCAGTGGGGGGGGAACCGCTACTTTAAACACATCTTGTTGTTTGAGGACAGGATGGAGTAGATGATTCATGTGGAGATTATTGTTGAGTACCTACCTGCCCCGTGTCAAGTGTTGGCTTAGATACCACTCTCACAAAATAACACCCAGCACCTGACTCTGGCACAGGCCACTGTGGAAGGCCAGGCTGTCTGGTGGAAAGTCTTGTGTTTTTTTTTTCTCTGTCATTTATGAGTTCAGCGTGGAGTCCTCAGTGGGTTGAGGCTTTCCAAATATCAAAGCCAGTGGAGAATCCCAGGATCCAGTCTTAATGACCTTGGTCATATGACCTTTGGACTCCTGGGGTGATTTTAAAGGAACCTGAGCATCAGGACTTGATCCACAAAGGGAGAATAGGGTGATGGAGACTCAGGAGTGACCTGTATGGGCTTGTGGAGGGGGTCTGCAGTAGTGCCTATAAAATGCTTTCATGGTTGTCGGGGGTAGGCAGGACCACTAGTGTTCATTTTTTTGTTTTTGGTACCGGGAATTGAACTCATGACCTTGTACTTGCCAGGCAAGTGCTTGAGCCGCTGAGCCAAATCCCTGGTCCTAGGTTTGGCGCCATAGGTAAATTCCCAGGGACGGGAAGATGACATCACGGTAAATTCCTAGGGGTGGGGGAGATAGGAGCTTCCTGGTCCCTATTGAGGCTTTTCTGGCTAGAGTCCCGTCTGGGCCAAAACCCTTTCAAATTTAATTTGACATAATCTCTTTAAATGGTTGGCAGCGGTCATTTAGGGCCCTTGTCATTCCATACAGCGAGGCACCTTGGGAGAGTGCCGCACCCCATCTCTCCCCAGTGCTGTTCAGTTCAGGGCTCTGGCCAGCCACCTCAGCAAGCTTTTGTGCAGTTAGGAGCCATGCAGCCGTGTTCCCGTGGCACAGCTACTTACACATCTTTTCTGAGCCTCACTAGCTTATTCTCCGTGTGTTTTGTTTCTGTAGGCAGGGGCTGAACAAGCGTTGTGTGTTTTCACTTCAGTTAGATTTTATTGGTACATTTGGGACATACCCAATGATCATCATAGAGGATTTGTACCTCTACATGGTACTGTTTACTTTCCCATTCCCCTACCCTCCCTTCAAGGTTCCTCCCCTTATCCATTTACAAACTTTCCTTTCCACATTTTCTGTTTTGTGTTAAGTAATCAGATTTACAGTCTTTTCCCTTTTTGCTTCTTGATTTTTGAGACATAATCAGGAAAGACCTGTTGAGTACATAGAAAAAAATCACCCAACGCTTTATTGATACAGTCGTTTGTTTCTGCCATCAGTTGCTGATCCTTTTAATCCACACTGTGAATAAGGAGGGGAGGCTCCATCACCTACAATGCCAGCCACCTGCGACTGGGCCCTGGCTCTGAGGTGAGCCGCAGCGCCAGGGGTCTGCACCCTGAACTTTGACGCGTGGCCCCGCCCCACCCAGGCGAAGGTGCCAACCAGGCCAGCAGCCACGTAGCGGCGTGCCAGGCCTAGTGCCCAGGTCCAGCGGTGAAGGCGCCTGAGCTCGGTGCCCTAGCGCGGCTACTGGCCAGCCTTGCTCTATGGCCAGGGGACCCCGGGACCCCGCCCCCGGCTGCGCTCACTGGACGCTCCGCCCACTGGCCTCGTTCATTGGACGCTCCCGCCCCGCTCCCGCGCGGTGTCCAGCTTTCGCCCCGCCCCCTCTGTGAAGCCCTGCCCCTTTGTGGTCGTCCTGGAGACCCTCTGTTACCTAAGTTTAGGGTTCACAGCGCAGCACAAAGCCGAAGGTGTAGCTGTGCAGTTCCGCCCTCTGCTGCCGCTGCCACTGGGAAAGACTTCTTTGCCACTGCCGGGTCCGGCCCGATCGGGCCAGGTCCTGCCCGGTCCTGCCCGGTCCGGCCGGGTCCGCAGCGAGCGGTCCTTCGCTATGGACACGGTATCAGCCACTGTAGCCGGGGTCTTCGCGTCCCCGGGTACCCCCGAGCTGCTGAGGCGCCTGTCGAAGCTGTATTCGGCCTTTGTAACCCTGCTACTGAAGGTGAGGCGGGGGAACCAGGGTTGGGCAAGGGGCGCTGGTCGCCCGCTGGTGGGACGGTCCCTTCGGAAGAGCCGTACCCGACGGGCAGGAGCCGGCAGGAGCGTGGTGTGGGCTGCAGAGGGCCGGGCTGAGGGAGCGGCATGGTCTGAAGCCAGCCATCGCCTTGGGAGCCACGTTCACGCCCCACCTGTTTCCTCGCACGGATTGTTTCATGAGGGTGCAGCAAATTGACATGCAGCCTCCTGGAGGAGTGATGCCTGACTTGTGGCGATCATTGTCATAGTGCCTTTGTTTGCAGACGCACAAACCTATCATGTATTTACAATGTGGGGTGTGTGTGTGTGTGTGTGTGTGTGTGTGTGTGTGTGTGAGTGTGTGTATGTGCCTGCGTGTGCAGTAATAGAAAACCGCTCAGACACTGCGATGAAGAAGGGCTGTTGGCCAACTGGGAAGTAGGTTCAACTCACTCCCTAAGTTTAGAGACTCCACATACGGGACAACAACGCGAGCCTGCCTGTATCCCCTTTCCGGAAGTTTCTTCAGGGCACCTGGAAGTTGGTTTAGACTATGGAGAGTAGATTGAGAGTATCTGTGATGATCCTTTGTGATTGCTCCACCAGTTCTGTTAACGTTTCCGTTATTTGTGCCCTTCCTTTTCAGCTGGTTGCAGTGTTACCTGAGAATTTCCAGCCCGGGCCTGGAGACTTTTATGGGCTCCCCTGGGAGCCTGTATTGCTCACTACCTGTGTTGGAATCCTTATGCTTGCGATTTTCTTGTGGAGGAATGTTTTTCCAGTGAGTGAATTAACTTGCTCTTTGACTTCTGAATATATTGAGGATTCTATTATCATTGGCCCTTTCAGTTATTAACATAAACAAATCAGTGGTTATAATTCAAGTTAGTTTTCTGAAATAATTTAATCTTGGTACTGGCAAAGACTTAAGAGCAAGCTAACCATATCCACTTATTAGTAGAGTTGGTGACTCGTACAGCCATCCTGAAAAGCAGTTTAATAATTCTATATATCATAAGCCTTTAAAATGGGATACAAAACAGGATAAGAAATATAAATTGCTTTTATATGGTATGATAACGTCAGTAAATGATCTTAAAGAAATAAATTACATGTTAAGATTTTATACAAAGGTATTAGATGTAGTATTTAATAGACTAATAACTTGGTGAAACCTAAATGATCTATATTAGGGAATATCATGTTTCATCTTATTTATATCCACAGAACAGAATATTACGCTGCTGTATGTATTTCAAAGGCAGGGGACAAAGAAGGTGTTCACGATTTAATGTGAAGTGGGAAAAGGGGAAACAGACCGTGAGGTACTGATGAACTGTGCTGTAGAAACATACAGGGCAAGAAATACAGTAAGATGGTAGAAACATCCAGGCAAGATCAGGCAGAGTGGTGTGTGCATTCCTGTGGCCCTGGAGGAGAGGGAGGCTGAGACAGGAGAAGTGCAAGTTTGAGCCCAGCCTGGGCAACTTGGTCACTTAGCAAGAGCCTGTCTCAAGAATAATGGGAAGGCTGAGAATGTAGTTCATTGTGAAAGCCCTGTCCCAGGTACCACCAAAAAACAACCCCAAAACAGCACCCTATGAAAGATTCCTGTGAGGACTTCTGGAATCTCACCGAACAGCTTCTTGGATGAAAGCACGCCTGGAAGGGTACGCAGAGTGTTTGGGGGTGAAAAGGTGCTGTTTCCCCTGCTCCTCTCCTTTGGTTCCCCTGCAGCTGCTACCCAGCAGGGCTCTCAGGCTCAGCCCTGCAGCTTCACACCCTGCCCCTGGGCTCACTTCCTCCCACTCCCTGAGGTCACATGGCTCTGAGGGGACACTCCTGATCCTGGAGAGCACAGTCGCCCTCCCCCCCACGCCCCTCAGCTGGCCACTGCGCTCTGCTGTCCTATACTGTTTATAGCACTCGGAAGGAGAAGACAGAGTCTGCGTTACAGAGAAGTGCAGTGATCGCTGCTGTGGTATTTAATTAGTTGCAGTTTAGGATTTATGACCCCAGAAGGCACTGGGAGTAAGAACTGGGTCTGTGCTCTTCTTGGAAGCCTTTAGCTGTCATTTCTCTGTGTTCTTCTGGTGTCTTCCCTTCCGCTTAGATTTATTACTGTTTTTGTGGTCTGGGGAAATCAGATGATGAGGTGTATTAGATTATTTCTTAATTGAGTCAATAGATCACTTGAAATAGGGTTTCTGAGGTATCTTCCAGTGAGTGAGAGAGGCGTATCTTAGTGCAAAGGTCATGCTGGTAATCTCGCTCGCCAGTCCTCCATATGGTCACCCATTTCGAGACTGCATGCTTGCTTTTGGGATTGTCAAGTAATTTCGAGTAAGTAAATCAATAATGTGTGTATTATAAAAACAAGCATTTCACTGTTGAAGCCAAATGCTCATCTCAGAAGCCTGGTGTTCACTTGGTCCTGGCACACAAGCCCGTGTGTAGCTGTGAAGTAAGACACGCTCCTTACTGTTCCTCTGTATCAGAGGCTATTTATAATACATTTTTAATTGTATGGGTTTATTCTGAACTAAAGTTACTAAATTTTCACTTGGTTATGATCCTGACTTGTGTTAGGAACTATGTATTCCTTTTAATCAAATGTTTGACATCAAATTTCTCTCTTTCTCTTCTAGGTAAAGGAGAGAATATACCAAGGTAAATCTCTTCCTGTTGGTGTTTGGGAGGGCTTTTAGGCAGGCTAGGAGTGACAGTGACTTTGGTGTCTGATTTGACTCACTAACTGCTCCACATTTTACTGTTGCTACTAACCATGGTATAGTGGGGAGGGTGATGGTACCGGCTGAGCTAGGAGATGTGGTGCAGGGGTGACTGCTTACTTGGAGCAGACAGAGCGTGGCTGGGCCACACAGGCGTGGAGAGAGGACCGTGTGTCTGTGCTAGGGACACCTCGGCCCCTATAGGTTTATCGGCACAGGAGCTCGAGAGACAGCAGTGCAGATCTGTAGCCTAAAGTTTCTTTTTCTCGTAGCAAATGACATTCATTTGAAGTGATCCGTTTTCAGAGAACAAGTGCCTTTTGTCAAAGGAGCCTCTCCAACTGTGTAACATTTTACTGTATCTCCTGCCTTTGCAGTAATTGGTATCTCCTCAAAACAAGTATTACTATAGTTTTCTTAAAGTTTAACAGTGTCCTGTGCACTGTTGCTGTTAGCTTCGGGTCTCTCTGGACAGGCAGGTAGCTGTGCTAAGCCCTGTCTCTCACAGAGCCTCACAGGTGTCCTTGCTGCTGAGACACTGTGCAGCTCAGTTCCATTTAATGCTCCTAATAACCTGGCTATTTCCTCTTTTTAGTCACTGAACAGCAGATTGCCGAAAAGGTGAAGACTACCACAAAGGACAATGCACAACTTGCAGAAAAATTGTCAAGTTATGAACAGAAGGTAGAACCTCTCACGGGCCCTCCTCTAGCGCGTCTGTGGTGTAGCTCAGTTATTACGGTATTTTGAAGGCCTGTGTTCTCGCTTCATCATTTCCTCTGAGCCCTCCAGATCTTATGCACCATCATGTGTAAAAGGAACGCTCTGCTTGCTTCTTTGGAACAAGGTTTTACTAGCACAGTGACTTCTGTTACTTAGTTCTGAATGTGTTTTTTACATAGATCAATAAATCGCAGAGGCTTCTTCAGGAGACCAAGAATCAGAATAGGATTCTCTCTGAGGAAGCAATTAAATACAAGGTAAAAGTCCTTCTCTTTGGGGGATTATAGTCTAAAAACAAAAGCAAGCATTAATGCGTACTGTTACTTTTAATCTCTTTTCTTCTGGATAAAATCAAGGTGCTTGAAGAAAGCAAGGAATTTCTGGATGATATGGCCAGAACTCTTGGTGATATGTTAGAATGTGAGCGGAAACGCAACATGAAAAATCAGGATTTGGTGAGTTCTGCCACTGCGTGTTACTAAAGGTGTATTTTTAGCTATTTCGTAAATCAGTTGAGCTGTTTCCATGCTATTAACTTCATAAGACTAGGAATAACAGAACTGAACATGCCTGTACCCATTTTGTGGGATTTTTAGTACTAGTTCAGTAGAATGTTTTTATAGGCACGGGAAGTGTTTTGATCCTGAATCTTGGATAATTTCATAGTTGTGTCCTCCAGAACACACAGTCACTAAAAAATTGGTCCAGCTGAGTAGTCTGTGTAAACTGGTTTTATTTCACAGTGAACTCTGTGCCTTTTGAATAGTCTGCAAATCCCCTAAGCGGAAATGTAGTGAGGAGAGTTCTCATGCTTCCCACCTCCTGTGTGGCCTGGTCCTTTGCTCAGCACATACCTGGTGAATTGCCCATTTTCAGTCCTTTGTGCAGCATGCTGTTTGGCAGGAAGTTATGACATACAACCTGCAGTTAAAAGAACGGTGGGTTAGGGTCACCCCTTGAGCCAGTATTGTCATAAATATTGAGAAATTTGGCACATGAGATTTTTCTATTCCCCCAGAAACACTTTTTTTTCTATTGGTTTATTTTGGTTTTGTCTTTTTGAGACTGGGTTCTGTTATGCAGTTCAGGCTGGCTGTGAACTCACCTTGTAGCCTAGGCTGGCCTTAAACTCTCCTGCCTCAGCTTCCTGAGTGCTGGGATTACAGGCGTCCTCCACCATACCCAGCATTCTTACCATTTTTAATTCAGACAAGAACATGTTTAAAGTGATCTTGGAGCTTTTTTTTTTTTTTTTTTTTTTTTTTTGGTGCCAGGGATCGAACTCATGACCCAGTGCTTGGCGGGCAGGCATTTAATGCTGCTGAGCTAAATCTCCAGACCTTTTGGGGCTTGTTTTCCTGACACCAGAAAAAGCTGTTCATTTTCCGTGGTTTGCTTGAACATTTCTTTATACTATGTCATGTGGTTACCCCAAAACTTGAGGGTGCCATGAAACTCTTGACTTCAGTTTTTTCTCTCAGCTCTTTAAGCAGATTTTTTCCCCAGACCATGTTTAATCCCGATTTTACCTAAAACATAGTGGATAGTTTGGGGTACCTTGTAGTAACGTTTTTGTTCTTTAGCATATGTATCAGTGTTTCTCCCACAGTCCTAATGCGTTCTGTGTGTTCCTTGCTTCCGTGGCAGGTCCTGGAAAATGAGAAATCTGTGGAGAAGCTAAAGGAGGTTATTTCAATGAATGCCTCAGAATTTTCCAAGGTAAGGCTGCCCACACTCCCTGCCGGTGTCAGTGTCGAGACTCAGCTGCATGGAGCAGTGGTGACCTGATGAGTGCTGAGAGCCGTGGAAGGCAGAGGCCGTGCATGATTGAGGGGCAGGGCTGGGGGCCCCTCCCTGGCGTGGCTCATGAACAGTCGTGTTGTGCGTTAGGTTCAGGTCACCCTGAATGAAGGCAAGTTGAGTGAGGAGAAGGTGAAGTCTGAGTGCCACCAGGTTCAGGAAGAAAACACAAGGCTGAAGAAGAGAAGAAAGTGCAGATTTTGTAAATGTTTGGTCAGAGTGGGTGCAAAACCCATCGACTTTAGCTCTGTCATCTTCTCTCATGAGGAGCTGCTTATGCAGGCCCCTGCAGCAAGCTGGGGAGCATCGAGTCTGTCCTCCCCAGCTTGCACCTTACTGAGGGCACAGGCTCCTTTTGTGTTTCTCGTGGATTTTCAATTCTGTAAATTGATGGCAGTTCTTGGCCCTTGTCTTGTTAGATACTAGTCATTACTTTGGCCTCAGCAAGGCCAGGGGTTGACTTTTTAAACCTCAGATTTAAGGCTTTGCTAAGCCTCCTCTAATAGTTACTGCCTCACATTGGCCATAGGAAGGTTAGATCAGGGATCTGTGATCAACACACACACACACTGAGGCCAGAAATCCCACAGCTAGCTGCCGGCAGTTCCCATGTGAATGGGTTATGTTCCTGCTAGGGGGATACACAGGATAGTCCCATTAGGTGGTAAGGACAGTCCTGCATGCCCTGCAGCAGTTCATGCCAGTGGGAATATGTTAAGCGCCAGCAATACATGCCCACGGGTGCCACCTGGAAGTCAGGCATTTGAGTCAACAGGCATTTTTCAGAAGGACTTGATGGCTGGGGTCAGCTTCGTTGAGAGCTCAGGGTAGAAGTCACACTCTGCAGGCCTGAACCAAGTCTTAGCCTCTGCGATGGGACAAGGAGGGACAGGACTCCTGCTTCCCCATCCCACTTGCATGGTCCTGTGCCTCTGTGGAATCCCCAGTCCGCAGGGACCCTTCCATGTGACTTTCAGCTAGAGCAGGAAGTTGAAGACCAGAAGAAGCTGAACGCTAAACTCAGCCAGCGAGTCAGGACGTTGGAAAAGTCTCAGAGGGATCTGGAAGCCACTCTCCATGATAAGGATGATAGCATTGGTGTAAGTTACCCCAGCCGGCCCAGCCTGATCATGAACACTTGGAAAACAAACCCACTGTGAGGATGGAGAGGCTCTTAACTGCTGCTCGCTTCTCTGCTAGGCTCTGAACAACTGCATCATGCGGCTGAACCGGATGGAGGAGAGGAGATCGGAATCTGAGGGTCCAGGTCCAGGCAGATGTGAGCCAGGTGAATTAGCCAATGGAGAAGTGGGAGGTAAGACCGGCCCTAGCCCAAGGGCCTTTTTTTTTAAACCAGGGATCTAACTCATGACCATGCACTCACCAGGCAGGTGCTTGTGCCACTGAGCTAAATCCCCAGCCCTTCAAGGGCCCTTTTTTGTCTTCTTCTCTTTATTGTTATTTTAGACAAGGTCTCTATGTAGTGGCTGGCCTTGAACTCACTGTGTAGCCCATACCGGCCTCAAACCCACAGCAAAATTTCTACCTCAGTCTCCTAAGCATTTTTGTCTTTAATTCCATACATGGATACTGCTTCTCAGCTGAGTTTCTTCTTGCCCCAACTGACCCATGCAGCTCTTACGTTCTTAGTGTGAAGGACCACAAGAGGATGAGAAAATAGACAAATCTGGGGTCAGGTGGAGCCCTTACCCTCCTCATGGGAAGAAAGGAACTGGCCCCTTACTGCAGGGGCGTTTATACGTTTTAGCAACTTAATGTCATGTGATGCCCTGTTGTCCTAGCAGCCCACTGTTCAGATTGTCTTGGGGTTTGGTGATCTCTGGGCTGAGGCAGCTTCTTCACATGGCAGTCCCAGGGGCTCTTTGTTCTTGGGCCAGCCATGCCCTAGCCCTGCACATGTGGTCGGTTTCCAGCTTCAATGGCTCCCAACATCTGAATAATTTGTACTTATGTCTGGGTCACTGGGGTGCAGTAGCAGCAGGCAAGTGGGGAAAGCTGCTTTTCCACCCCTTGAGAACTGGATGTGTACGCTGGAGCCTTTGCCTTTGTGTCGGCCTCTGTGCCAGAGAAGACACTCACTCAGCTTTCTGGAGATGACACACGGGTCCGTACTCACGGCCTCTGCTGTTCTGTGGTTCTCAGGCACTTGGCCAGGGTCACCTAGAGTGTGGGGATGGGGAGCCACAGCCCAGGCTGTGAGGGCAGAGGCTGGAGAGCAGCAGGGTCTGAGATGAGGAAAGTGGTCAGGGTGCCGCCCAGCTGCAGAGGGTGCTCAGAGTGCGAGTCTGGACCCACGCCGGCCAGCTCCCCCTAGACCATCATGTGGCAGAGCTAGGCTTGCTCAGCCACAGGCCAGGTGGCATGCTGTCTTGGCAGGAGCTTACAAAATCTAAGGGTGCAGTTGTCATGAAAGTCAGTGTGTCAGTTCTGTTGGTGAATTGTTTTTCTTTACAGTGTTTGATGAGCATTAGTTTAGTTTTGTGGAAGTCAAGACAACAGTGTTAGAAACGGCACAGGAAGACACAGCCACACTTGTTCTCTTTGTAGGTGGGGAGAGTAAGATCAAGGCTCACATGCACCGGCTGATGGATGTCTCCCAGGTGAGTCCCTTCACAGAGTCCCCCCAGGGGCCCATGAGTCCTGACTGAGCCTTACTTTCAAGCCTGTGCCCCTCCCTCACAATTTTCAGACACATTCCACAATATCCGTATTTCAGAAAGATCTCCAACTCCTGGAGTTGAAGCTGAGAGCCTCCCTGTCTGCCAAATGTGATCTGGAAGGTAGGTCCCTGACCACATGGTGGTCAGGCTGAGTGCCGGCATGAATGAGGCAGGGATGCTGGGAGCCTGGTTCTGTGTCTTTGGCGGTGCCCTTGGTGATGTGTCTCACCTCCCAGACCAGATCGTGAAGCTAGGTGAGGACTGCGGCAGGCTGCAGGCAGACAAGGCCCGGATGGAGGAGGAGTTTAGCATGCTGCAGCAGAAGGTGGAGATCCTGAAGGAGCTGTCCCACCAGAAGGAGCTGGAGCTGCAGAAGTGAGTCCCAGAGATTTTGTCCAGTGTCTCATGCTGGCCATTCCTGTCACTTCTGATTGCCTAGCAGCTTGGATGTGCAGTGATCATAGAGGAAACTTGGGGCCCAGGGTGCTGCTGGTTTCCTGTGATGGCGACCTGAGGCTGCTCCTGCCTGTCCGCCATCACCATCATCCAGCTAGCAGTTGGGCCCAGTGTCCCTGCCTCTGTAGCCTCAGCTCCACTGCTTATTTCTTAAAGCCTAGGGATTTGTCGAGGGCTCAGTTCAGCATCTTTGGCATTGTCCTCCATGTGTGGGTTGAAGGAGGGCAGCACTGGCCTCTGGGGCCCACATTTCGCTTTCTGGCTGGGGCCAAGTCTCCCATCCACCCATTTGGCCTATCTTGTGTGCTTATCATGGCCTAGGTCTAGAGAAACAGCTCTTCCCAGACAGTATGTGGGGATGGGGGGAGGTGGACTCCGCCTATTGCTTTCCCAGCAGCTCTGCTGGACAATCCTGGCTTCCCTCGGGGAACACTCATCTCCCACACAGGCAGCTAGAGCCTGGTGCATGCTGTGCTCTTAACTTGTTCTGTTTGCTGATTAGACAATTACAAGGAGAGGTGAGAGAATATAAGAACACAAGCAAATGGCCCAGAGCCTGGAGCTTGACTGCCCTCCTGAAACCCTGTGCCTGCTGCTGGGTGGGGAAGTGGCCTGTGGGCCGAGTTCAGCCCTGGCAGCTGCCTTTCTCCTAGGATACTGAGTCAGGCGGAATGTGCACAGCAGCAGCGAGAGCAGGCGCTGTTGGCTGTGGATGAGAAGGTGGTGCCGGCCACAGAGGAGGTGAAAATCTACAAGTGAGTGTGGCGTCCGAGAAAGAGGAACTGGGCTGAGTTGCTTTGTTACATAGAAGAGATGGGCACAGAAGCACATGAGCAGTCCAAGAATGGAATGTATTTAACTCACACAGGGAGGGGTTCTACATTAACAGACAGAAGCTTGTTAACAGCGAAGCTCCTTTGCAGATGTGTCCTGTGCCCATTTTTAGGAAATCGGCCTGCTTCTGTCACACATCCACACCCACCAGAGTCTCAGTGCTCCGACAGACCGGGGGCAGCATTTTGAGTCATTTCTTGTGGCTATAATTTGAGGGGAAAACCTTTTAATTTTTAATCAGTACCGGGGATCAAACTTACGACCGCCCGCTTTGCAAGGCAGGTGCTTATGCCGCTGAGCTAAATCCCCATCCCCTGAGGGGAAAACCTTTATGGGGAAGGTAGCCTTAGCCAGATTATTTTGAGAATGTTATTCAAGGACAGTTAAGGAAATTGACAAGTTGTCAACTCATAATCTCTAGGCATTAAATGAAAAATCAGGAAACTGAGGTTCACACTGCACTCATCACGTTATGAAATGTTTCTGTATGATGAAGTCTTTAAAGGTCAGACATGGTCAGATTGTTGCAGAATTTATTTGATTCTAACTGCTAATTATTATTTTTAGGCGGCGAATCCATGAAGTGGAAGCAGAATTAGAGAAAACGGAGCGCTCATTTAAAAACCAGGCAAGGAATAGAGTGCGCTGTGGTGACAGCACCCGTTAATCCCCCACACAGGAGTCATGGAGGGCTGCAGCCCCGGTGACTGTTCCCTCAACCTGCGTCTTGCCCTGTTCTCTTGCAGCTTGCTACTGAGAAGAAAAAAGCCCATGAGAACTGGGTAAGAGCCTCCTCCTCGCCTCGCCTCGCCTCGCCCTCTCCAGCTTCACTCAGCCACTGTGCTGAGCTGGCCTCTCTGTCTCCACAGCTCAAAGCCCGAAACGCAGAGCGCCTGGTGGCAGATGAGAAGCGGCAGGCCGCCAACCTGCGGCAGAGGTTAGCAGCGCATGGCGCTATGCGTGGCGCCCACGTTTCAGCCCACTCAGGGTGGCTATGGTCACCCCCAGCCCTACTGTGTCTGTGTGCAGGCTGGTGGAAATTACCCAGAAGCTGGATATGCTTAAAGAGGAGCCTGGGATCATCAATCGGATGCCAGACTGTCCTGGAGTGCAGAACGCGCCCCACAGAGGTGGGCACTCTGTCCTTCTGAGTGGGACTCGGGGAACTTAGCCACTGCAGAGAACTGGTAACCAGCGCGTGTGTTGTCTCCTCAGGTCCCCTGAGCCAGAAGGGCTCCTTTGGCCCGTCCCCTGTGAGTGGCGGTGAATGCTCCCCGCCCCCAGGCGCACAGCCCCCTGGATGGCCGCCCTCTGCAAGCCTGAACTTGGCACGCCATGACATTGCAAGAGCCGACTTCGGTGAGCCTCTCCAGGGCCTCTAGTCCCGGACTCCGGGATACCATGCTGCCTTGCCCCGGGCATGGTTCCCTGAGCTCTGGTACAGAGCCCGGGCAGTCCCGGCTCGGGTTTCCACTTATCCCTGGGCCCTGTGCAGGCCCACCTCGATTGCAGTGCAGGAGCAGGGTCCTGGGAGCAGTCGCCCACCCCATCACTCCCAACCCTCTCTGGCTGTGGCATGGCAGAGGCCGCAGTGTCGCCCTCTCCCTCTCTGCACAGTGTTCAATGAGTGGGCGCACTTTCGTCACCACTCATCCCACTCCGGGCCACCGGGGAAGGCTCCTGAGGTGGCAGGTCCGCGTGTTACAGGTCTGTGTGCTGCTCCCAAAGCACGTGGCCACTGTGTGCGGGCTCAGTCTTCCGCGGCCCTGTCTTCCTCCTCCACAGCCTGAGACCTAAAGCAGCCTCCGCCTCTGGCTTGGGCTGCCACAGCGCAGCTTTCCCAGCTCCCCAGGTCCACGAAGTGCTGACCAGGTGGAGCCCGCGCAGGCTCAGAGGCCTCCTTCGACCCCCCCCTACCCCCACCCCCACCCCCACTTGACGCCTGCTCAGTGAGCCTGGTACCTCTGGCTCCACTCGAGGGCTCCCTGGCCTCCTGCCTCCCAGGGGCCTTGCAGCTGCCTCTCAGAGGCAGCCTTGCCTCTGCTCCCTCCAGGGACTGTCCTTGGGGCTCTGGAGTGTTCTCGAGGGCACTTCCGAGGGCGTGCCTGTGGCCTCTTCCGGTCCTCGTCCTCATCCTCGTCCTCGTCCCTGACCTCGTCCCTGCCATCGTCCCCGTCCTCGTCCTCGTCCTGGGAAAGTCCTCTGAATGCCTTGTCTGCCCCCAGATCCCGGCCCTGGCCCCGTGGCCAACAGCAGCTCCCGCGGCTCCTCTCCAGTGAAGGACATGGACAACGCCAAGGTGAGCCTGGAGCCCGTGCCTTGGCCCACGCTGCTCCATGGGCCCTCCGTTTCCCCTCTGTTCTCCAGCTGGCCTGGGCGTGGCGACCCTGCTGACTAGGTCACCATCTGACTGGGGCCTTCACTAAGGCTGGGGCCACGTGCTGAGTGCTGGAGCACAGCACACCTCATGCCCCTGACTTGAGTGTTTGGTTTGGTACTTATTTTGAGTCAGGGTTTCCTTATGCAGCTCAAGCTGAACTTGACCTCACAGTACCCAGAGCCGACCTGCAGTTCCCTAGCAGTCCTCCCGCCTCAGCCTCCCGAGTGCGGGATGACTGGTGTGCATCGCCACACTCTCGTGCCCTTGATTTTTGGGAGCAGCTGTTGCGGTCCTCATGGTCTGTGCTAGGCAGACCCCTTGCAGTGATGGGGATGAGGTGGGCGTGGGCTCTTCCGGGAGTGGGAAGCCGGTTCCAGGGCCCCCTGAATCCGACCCTGGGCGGCCCAGGCTGCTGTGCCTCCTGGGTCCTGAGGCTGCTGCCTTGGCAGCCTTCGCACCGCATGGGGCCGCCTGCAATGGTCAGAGCTCCATGGACTGCCTTCCAAGCAGCCCAGGCACAGGCGCCTCCGCCAGCCCCTCCCTGTGCAGTGTCAACTGGCCGAGGCAGCTTCCTGTTCTCCCCAGCGACCCCGGGTCCCTGGGAGCCCTTGTGTCTGCCTGTCGTGCCCAGGGACTCGCTCATGCTGGCAAGAGTGCAGCGAGCTGGCGCAGCGCCCCGCTGGCACCTCTGGAGCTCATCTCCACACCCGAGTGGGGACAGCGTGGTGACCATGCTCGCTGTGTGGCGTGCTGCTCACGAGGGCCCGGCAGGGTCCGGGGATCCCTTGACTCCTCTCGGGACGGGCACCCAGTGTCACTGCCGAGCTGGAAACTGGGCCTGCTTCTGTTCGCAGGTGAGCATGGCCGTGAAGGGGCCCCCAGCCCATCCAGGGCCCCCGTTCCTGGGAGGCCCCATGCCGCCCCACATGGGCTATGGGTCCCCACCGCCACCACTGCTCTGCAGGCCCTTCGGGCCTCGGCCGATGCCTCCTAGGCCACCGCCACCATTCGGTACGGTAGGACACTTGGGCTGGCACCACCGCCTACCCTGTCCTCTCGCCTACCCTGTCCTCTCTCCTCTCCTGTCCTGATCGGCAGCTGCAGCCTGCCAGACTCTAAGCATGAGGCCCAGCACTCTGAGCCCAGTGCAGCCTCCACAGCTGCTTGGACCAGAAGGGCCCTTTCGGCAAAGCCGAAGTGCCAGTCTCAGCGGGGTGGTCACCTGGGATGCCACAGGCCACCGGCAGTGGGAGAAGGGAGGGTCAGGCTGTGGTTGAGCCTTACTGAGCCTCAGTTTTCCTTATCTGTGAAGTCCAGTGCATCACTCCACTTCCTGGTGCAGGGGAAGGGAAACCCTTGCAGCAGAGCTGGGCTGCTCCTCAGGACGTGTACGCATGTCCCTCTTGCTTTCCAGTCACACGCATGGGCCCACCACTGGGCTTAAGAGACTATGCGCCCGGCATGCTGCCCGGTCGCCACGACCTGCCGCTACATCCTGGCGAGTTCTTGCCGGGACCTGTGCCATTCAGGCCTCCAGGCCCGCTCGGCGCCCGAGCGTATTTCATTTCAGATCCACGAATGCCACCACCACCCACTGGACTCCAGGACTACCGACCACCGCCTGCCGGGCCCGAGGAATACCCACCGCCACCTGCTGGGCCCCAGGACAACCCACTGACGCCTGCCGGGCTCCAGGACTACCCACCACCACGTGCCGGGCGCCAGCACTACGCACCATCGCCTGCCGGGCCCCAGGACTTCCCACCACCGCCTGCCGGGCCCCAGGACTTCCCACCGCCACCTGACGGGCACCAGGCCTACCCACCACCACCTGCCAGGTGCCAGCACTACGCACCATCGCCTGCCAGGCCCCAGGACTACCCACCGCCGCCTGCCGGGCCCCAGGACTTCCCACCGCCACCTGCTGGGCACCAGGCCTACCCACCACCACGTGCCGGGCGCCAGCACTACCCACCATCGCCTGCCAGGCCCCAGGACTACCCACCACCGCCTGCCGGGCCCCAGGACAACCCACTGCCACCTGCCGGGCGCCAGGCCTACCCACCACCACGTGCCGGACGCCAGCACTACGCACCATCGCCTGCCAGGCCCCAGGACTACCCACTGCCGCCTGCCAGGCACCAGGCCTACCCACCACCACGTGCTGGGCGCCAGCGCTACCCACCACCGGCTGCCAGGCCCCAACACTACCAACCACCACGTGCCGGGCGCCAGGCCTACCCACCACCGCCAATCAACCTATTACTACTAATTATCCCAATCCTCCTAGCCATAGCATTCTTAACCTTAACAGAACGCAAAACTACCCATCGCCAACTGCCGGGCCCCAGGACTGCCCACCGCCACCTGCTGGGCCCCAGGACAACCCACGACCACCTGCCGGGCCCAAGGACTACCCACGACCATCTGCCGGGCCCAAGACAACCCACCGCCACCTGCCGGGCCCCAGGACTACCCATCTCCTCCTGCCGGGCCCCAGGAATACCCACCGCCACCTGCCGGGCCCCAGGATTACCCATCGCCTTCTGCCGGGCACCAGGCCTACCCACCACCACGTGCCAGGTGCCAGCACTAGGCACCATCGCCTGCCAGGCCCCAGGACTACCCACCGCCGCCTGCCGGGCCCCAGGACTTCCCACCGCCACCTGCCGGGCACCAGGCCTACCCACCACCACGTGCCGGGCGCCAGCACTACCCACCATCGCCTGCCAGGCCCCAGGACTACCCACCACCACCTGCCGGGCCCCAGGACAACCCACCACCACCTGCCGGGCCCCAGGACAACCCACCACCACCTGCCGGGCCCCAGGACTTCCCACCGCCGCCTGCCGGGTGCCAGGCCTACCCACCATCGCCTGCCGGGCCCCAGGACAACCCACCACCACCTGCCGGGCACCAGGCCTACCCACCACCACGTGCCGGGCGCCAGCACTACCCACCATCGCCTGCCAGGCCCCAGCACTACCCACCACCGCCTGCCGGGCCCCAGGACAACCCACCACCACCTGCCGGGCCCCAGGACTTCCCACCGCCACCTGCCGGGCACCAGGCCTACCCACCACCACGTGCCGGGCGCCAGCACTACCCACCATCGCCTGCCAGGCCCCAGCACTACCCACCACCACCTGCCGGGCCCCAGGACAACCCACCACCACCTGCCGGGCGCCAGGCCTACCCACCACCACGTGCCGGGCGCCAGCACTACGCACCATCGCCTGCCAGGCCCCAGGACTACCCACCGCCGCCTGCCGGGCGCCAGGCCTACCCACCACCACATGCCGGGCGCCAGCGCTACCCACCACCGGCTGCCAGGCCCCAAGACTACCAACCACCATGTGCCGGGCACCAGGCCTACCCACCACCGCCAATCAAACTATTACTACTAATTATCCCAATCCTCCTAGCCATAGCATTCTTAACCTTAACAGAACGCAAAACTACCCATCGCCAACTGCCGGGCCCCAGGACTGCCCACTGCCACCTGCTGGGCCCCAGGACAACCCACTGATGCCTGCCGGGCCCCAGGACTACCCACCGGCGCCTGCCGGGCCCCAGGACTTCCCACCGCCACCTGCCGGGCGCCAGGCCTACCCACCAACACGTGCCGGGCGCCAGCGCTACCCACCACCGGCTGCCAGGCCCCAAGACTACCAACCACCATGTGCCGGGCCCCAGGACAACCCACCACCGCCAATCAACCTATTACTACTAATTATCCCAATCCTCCTAGCCATAGCATTCTTAACCTTAACAGAACGCAAAACTACCCATCGCCAACTGCCGGGCCCCAGGACAACCCACGACCACCTGCCGGGCCCAAGGACTACCCACGACCACCTGCCGGGACCAAGGACTACCCACGACCATCTGCCGGGCCCAAGACAACCCACCGCCACCTGCCGGGGCCGAAGACTACCCACCACCACCTGCCTGGCCCCAGGACTACCCATCTCCTCCTGCCGGGCCCCAGGAATACCCATCTCCTCCTGCCGGGCCCCAGGAATACCCACCGCCACCTGCCGGGCCCCAGGACTACCGATCTCCTCCTGCCGGGCCCCAGGAATACCCACCACCACCTGCCGGGCCCCAGGACTACCCATCTCCTCCTGCCGGGCCCCAGGACTACCCATCTCCTCCTGCCGGGCCCCAGGAATACCCACCACCACCTGCCGGGCCCCAGGACTACCCATCTCCTCCTGCCGGGCCCCAGGAATACCCACCGCCACCTGCCGGGCCCCAGGATTACCCATCTCCTCCTGCCGGGCCCCAGGATTACCCATCTCCTCCTGCCGGGCCCCAGGAATACCCACCGCCACCTGCCGGGCCCCAGGACTACCCATCTCCTCCTGCCGGGCCCCAGGACTACCCATCTCCTCCTGCCGGGCCCCAGGAATACCCACCACCACCTGCCGGGCCCCAGGACTACCCATCTCCTCCTGCCGGGCTCCAGGACTACCCATCTCCTCCTGCCGGGCCCCAGGACTACCCATCTCCTCCTGCCGGGCCCCAGGAATACCCACCGCCACCTGCCGGGCCCCAGGACTACCCATCTCCTCCTGCCGGGCCCCAGGAATACCCACCGCCACCTGCCGGGCTCCAGGACTACCCATCTCCTCCTGCCGGGCCCCAGGAATACCCACCACCACCTGCCGGGCCCCAGGACTACCCATCTCCTCCTGCCGGGCCCCAGGAATACCCACCACCACCTGCCGGGCCCCAGGACTACCCATCTCCTCCTGCCGGGCCCCAGGAATACCCACCGCCACCTGCCGGGCCCCAGGACTACCCATCTCCTCCTGCCGGGCCCCAGGAATACCCACCGCCACCTGCCGGGCTCCAGGACTACCCATCTCCTCCTGTCGGGCCCCAGGAATACCCACCGCCACCTGCCGGGCCCCAGGACTACCCATCTCCTCCTGCCGGGCCCCAGGAATACCCACCACCACCTGCCGGGCCCCAGGACTACCCATCTCCTCCTGCCGGGCCCCAGGAATACCCACCGCCACCTGCCGGGCCCCAGGATTACCCACCGCCTTCTGCCGGGCTCCAGGCCTACCCACTGTCGCATGCTGGACCCCAGCACTACCCACCACCAACTGCCAGGCCCCAGGACAACACAGCACAGCCTGCCGGGCCCCAGGACAACTCACCGCCGACTGCCGGCCCCAGACTACCCACCACCATGTGATGGGCCCCAAGACTACCCACTGCCGCCTGCCGGGCACCTGGCCACCCACCACCAAGTTCCGGACCCCAGGACTACCCATTACCCCCTGCAGGGACCAAGAGTACCCACCGCCGCCTGCCGGGCCCCAGGAATATCCACGGCCACCTGTCAGGCCCCAGGACAACCCACCGTCCTCTGCTGGGCTCCAGAACTATCCATTGCCCCATGTTGGGCCCCAGGACTACCCACCGCCAAGTGCTGGTCCCCAGGACTACCCACCGCCAAGTGCCGGTCCCCAGGACTACCCACCGCCAAGTGCCGGTCCCCAGGACAACACACCACCACCTGCCGGACCCCAGGACAACCCACGACTGCCCAGGACTAGCCACTGCCACCTACTGGGCCCCAGGATAACACACCGCCACCTGCCGTGGCCGAAGACTAACCACAGCCACCTGCCGGGCCCCAGGACTCCCCCACCATCTGCCGGGCCCCAGGACTACCCACCATCACCTGCCAGGCCCCAGGACTAGCCACCGATGCCTGCCGGGCCCCAGGACTACCCACCACCACCTGCCGGGCCCGAGACTACCCACCACCATGTACCGGGCCCCAGGACTACCCACCACCACCTGCTGGGCCCCAGACTACCCACCACCATGTACCAGGCCCCAGGACTACCCACCTCCACCTGCCGGGCCCCAGACTACCCACCACCGCCTGCTGGGCCCCGGAATACCCACCCCCGCCTGCTGGGCCCCAGGACTACCCATTGCCGCCTATTGGGCGCCTTTTTCTCCTATGGGTCTGCGCTTATTTCTAGGACTGATAAAAGTTCTCTCCAGTTAACTGCAGCCTTGATGTTTCCTGATTTGCCCCCAACTACAGATTAAAGTAATGTACTTGTATTGCACAGTTATTTCTGGATAGTGGAATGACTTGTTTTGTTTTTTTACATTTTAGCATCAGGTTTCACTCTCTTTCCTAGGCCAGTCTCAAACCCCTGGGCTCAAGTGATCCTTGAGTGCTTTAGCTGCCTGAGCAGCTAGGATTGCAGACCTCACAACCAGTAACTATTTTTTGAAAAACTTCAGTGAGGTACAAATATGTTCAGCAGCAACAAAAGAGTGTAAGCACTGGCCTCTCTCTGCTGGGATAAGTGCACTGCTGCACCAGAGACAGGGAGGGCAAGTACCAAGCAGATGCCTGTCACCTCCTCAGTACGGCAGGAGTGCCCAGGGCCCACGTGGGCTGGATGCTGCTGGGCTGCACCTGCTTCCCTGTCCCCACTAAAGATGCCCTGAAGGCCTGGTGCTCCCTCTCTACCCAGAACACAGCGCTCACATAGGCTGCTGCCTACCCAGAACACAGTGCTCCCCATACACAGCCACGGCCACAACCTGGCCTGAATCCCGGGCCTGCTTGCCGGCCAGCCCCTATCAGGGACACGCCCCGTTCCTGGCTTTCTCCCTCCCTCCCTCACTCCTCCTCCGTCTCTTTCCCCCACCTCTTCCCTTCCTCCACCGCCCCAGGCACATGCCCACCCCAACCCCGCACCCCACCTCCTCGCACAGGAGAAGCACACCCCACGTAGACAGTTGGCGCTCAATAAGTGCCCAGGCCCCTCTGTGCACATGCACACTTGAACCTGACCTAGTGGTGACCCCCCCTCGACTCCGCCCCCAAATCCGAACTGCCAGCTGCAGCCCCGAACCAAACTTTTTTTTTTTTTTTTTTTTGTACTGAGCTGCTGCAAACCCTGCCACAGTTTCTCGCTGTTGTCTTTCCAGGCCTGGCTCTGGGACAGGCTTCTCCGAGAGAGGCCCAGCTTGCCCCAGGGCTAGAGAGGAAGCCAGAAAACTGCGGGCCGCGGAGGGGGGGTGTGTGTGCAGAGCTTGGAGCGGGCCACAGGGACTAGAGGCCCTGGTATCAGCGCGGGATGGCACAGCGCAAGGGAGGAAAACCAACCTTTCCATTTGCTTCTGAGTGTTCTCCTGCTCACTTTAGGACAACTCCCTGGTTTGTAGTTGTAAGGCAAGGTGTTTTTTACCGATTCTGGAATTCAATGGGAGAAAGTTAACTGTTAGCATTCAACCCTCATGTAAACAATACTGGCTGCTTTTGGTACCATCAGGCCCTGGCTTTTGTATAATTTGTAACAAGTAGAATTGAAGCCGTTCCATTGTGTTGCTCTGTGTTTGTTCTAGATAAGACCAGAGCCTCAAGTGTAGTACAGGGACCAGGGTGTCTATTTTGAGGGCACACTGTATATATTTATATTGTGAATTTAATGCATACAAGAGGAATCATACCTCCCCACCCAAAAAAAGTTTAAAAATATTTTCCGACCTGATTTATGAAACCACAGGACAATTTCAGGCCTGCTGCTTCTTCAGCAAAGGCAAACCTGCTTGAACTGCTAACCTGGCTGCGTGACCTTCAGCAGGGCCTTGAAGTTGTGACATCAGCCTCTTTACCTGGAAGATGAAATAAAATCCTGCAGAGATGGTGGCTCGCAAATCAGCACCAACAGTGCTTCCCCTGTTGCCCACAATGTGCCAAATAAGAAAATTACACAAACCAAAATTCCTAGAGGATGCAGGTTTTCAACTGGGGCTGATTTTGCTCTCAGGGCACATTTAGCAATGTTTGGGGACATTTTTGATTGTCACAACTGGGAGGAAGTGCCGCCTACTGGATTTAGGGTGACAGAGCCTAGGATGCTACTAAACTTCCTTAGGGAACAAGGCAGCCCCCAAGGCCAAAGAGTGGCCCTGTCTAAAATGTCAATAGCGCCCCCCTCTGACTTGTCCTGCCCAAGGAAGACACTGCTCTGGAGTCATTCCTGAAAACCTCCTGCTACCTTTCAACTGTCCTCCTAAAGGAAAGAGCTCTGTTTTTCATTAAGAGGAACGAGGTGTGGGACTGCACCAGTTCCATTAATACACAAAGCTCCTCCTTCCCAGAAATGGCAGGTTGGGATTCTAGATTTTATTATGAAAGGAACAAATCCAATCCATTCAATTTCATGTCCATGTTTCCATTTGTTCTCAAACACTGCTGCATAGCCCCTGTCCTGAGGGTCACACACCCACCCAGGAGGGGAATTACTGCCCTTGCAACAATTAAGGAACAATAGAAATAACACAGAACTGAGCTTTAACTGCAGCACCCAGGTTAAGGTGGCTCAGAGGGAAGGGAACCGAGTCCCTACAGCAAAGCCCAGGTCTTGCCTGTGGGCTGAGATGTTCAGGAAATGTTTAAAGTTTTAGACTTTGAAGTAGGGCTCCGGCTCAGCTCCATCACAGGATATAAACCCCTTGATTTTCTAAACAGATATTGGTGTCTGACTGTGAATTTATTTTTCTTAAAACGTCTAGTGCAAACTTTTAACCAAAGCTATGGGTTTCCTAAAATGATTAATAAAACCAAAATGTTTACATGCGTGCCTGCCCTGTGCCGAATAAGCCCAGAGCCTCTCCCGTCCCCAGCAGAACCAGTAGCTTGTTCACTCTGAGATGCAGTCTGGGCAACCCCAGCCACGCAAGGCATATGCTCACAGCATAGGCTGGATGCAAATCCCTTTCCTGCAGGTAGGTACTTGCATGGTGTGCCTTCCAGAGCTCTACACATCCACACCGAGTCAGGGAGAACATCGCATCACACACATCCTGCCACACAAGCACACTCGGCCAGCAATCAGCTCCGTGACGTGGAATCCGGGCCCTTCCTGAACTCACACTGCTCAGTACACACCTTACACCCTTCAGAGCCTCACTTCTGGCTTCCACTCCTGTGCCTGATACATCCCTCCCCCACAACTACCATTTGCTCTACCCCAGGTGCATCCCGTTCAGAGCCACCCCCACCCTGCTTTTTCCCACATCCTACCCCACACTCACCATTAAGGTCTTGGCGGCTTTTTCCTCATCTCCATCAAGGGAACTGGCTCTCTGGGGAGTATCTGCCACTAGTGGAGGTTAAGCAAAACAGACAGGGCCCTGCCTCATATTATGTGGACACATCCCTAGCTCACTAGTAGGGTGCTGAGTCTGAGACTGCCCCTCCCTCTGTCCTTCCCCGGTGCAGACTCCCTGCGCTCCCGTGCTGCTGCCTCCCCTAGAAACGCCCCATGCACCCTTTCACCCCTTTACCCAGCTCCCTTAGTCACCCGTAGCATGTTCTCAGGGAAGCTCTTTCTGGCCCCACAAAAAGTAGCCATGCCCCTCCTTTGTGTCCAACAGCATCCACATCTTACCCCTGAATCATTGTACTAACATCTCCATTCTCTTGGCCTTATCTGCTAGGAGACATTTTGTGAAGACAGCCACTGTGGCTTGTTCTTCACTGTATGTGTATCCAACGCTCGCTGTCTGGCAGGGCTTGCAGGAGGCCCTTCACAAGGGTTTCTTAAGGATGAGTCTCTGGCTGGACCTAGGGACAGAGTAGACATATTCCATAGTTCTGGTGATCCCTGACTCAAAGCACGTCCTGATGTTCCACAGCTCCCAGGACTCCTGAAGATCATCTCCGCAGAGCAAGATGAAACTTAAAAATGAATGGTGTCTCTGGGTTCCACCCGAGCCCCCACTGATAAACGTCTCCTGTTTTCCTGAACTGCAGGTTCTTATAACCAGTTACCACTTTGGCACCTCCACTTGGATGTCTAATCAGATCTCAAGTGAGTCGTGAGCCAGATGTGGTAGCACGTGCCTTTAATCTCAGCACTTGACAGGCTGAGGCAGGAGGCTCACCTGTTTCAGGCCAACCTGGGCTCCATAGTGAAATTCTAACTCAAACAAATCAAAAACTACCATCTCCAAATCCATTTCTCTTGCCCTTCCAAAATCTGCTCCCTTTCTTCTAAGCAAATAAGAGCCTATTCTCCTACTTGCTCAGAAAAGAGGTTGAAATCATCTCTAGTTCTCTTTTCGTTCTCACACACCGCAATTCATCAAGAAATTCTGTTGGCTCACCTATGCACTACCTGAGCAATGCCCCACCATTGCCTAATTCAGCCCCCGTCTGGCCTACCCGGCCTCCTGCAGCAGGCTCCTGTTTCCTGCTGTTGCTGGCACCCAGCTGTAAACTGTTCAACCTTCAGCAGCCAGAGCAATTTTTTTTAAAACCTGCATTACACGACACACTCCTCTGCTCAAAAATTCCAGCAGCTTCCCTTCTACTTGATCTTGGCCTAAACAACTCTCGGGTTCCCCCAGCTGCCACTCCTCCCTGGAGCCTGCTGCTCCAGGCTGACGGGCCCCTGCCTGGCCCACAGATCCGCTCCCAACTCTGTCTTCCAAGACCACTGCTTTGGGCCACAAGACCTGCTCCCGCACTCACTGCATCACTCGCTGCAGGTCCCTCCTCAAATGCACCTAGGAGAGACACAGTCCCTGTCCAATGTGTCCACAGTAGCGTCCCCCAACTGCACCTTCATCCACCTTTTCTTCCTTACACTTAGCACCAGACAATCTTTCCCTTGTCAGGAATTTTGATTCTTCCATGCTTATTTGGCTGTAAGTTCAATGAGAACAGGGACTTAGTTGTCCCTTACTGTTATATAGTCAGCTTCTAGAACATTGTCTGGGCCCGGGGGTATACCTCAGTGGCACAGTTATCTGTCTGCAAGCGCAAGGTTCTGAGTTCAATTCCCAGTACCAAGAAAGAAAGAAAGAAAGAAAGAAAGAAAGAAAGAAAGAAAGAAAAAAGAGCATTGCCATTGTCTAGCTGCTAGCATACATATAGGATCACAGGCCCTACACAAACTCTTAGCCCCAATAGTCACACACCTTCCTCTAAAAGCTATCATTCTTAAGATTACTCACAAATGTGACCTCTGTGCCAGGACCTCTCCTCAGGAATGTATGGCACCCCCTTCCTTTCCTACCCATCAGTTTCGAGGACACACCCATGGTCAGGACTGGCAGATAGGTTTTACACACATGCCCCGCCACAGCACTCTCAATTATCTTCTCACCTTTGTTTGTACCTTTTCAGGATGGATAGAAGCCTTTCCCACAACCAGGGAAACTGCTGATGTAGTTACCAAAGTCATATTACAAGAAATCATTCCAAGGTTTGGTCTACCTCAGAGTATTCAATCAGATAATGGTCCGGCCTTATTTCTCAGATCACTTCACAGGTATTCTCGAGCTTACACATCACCTGGCACCTACACATCCCATACCACCCACAATCCTCAGGAAAAGTAGAAAAGGCAAGTGGCCTCATAAGACACACCTTACAAAACTCACTTTAGAACTACATCAACCTTGGCCTCAACTTTTGCCCTTAGCCTTAGCCATGCTCAGGGCACTCCCCCGGGCTCCTACTTTCCTAAGTCCTTTTGAACTTAGGTACGGCAGGCCATTCTTACTCCACAATCTTCCTACTCCCCAAAATCTCCCTCCCCTGGCTGACTATGTCCCAGTCCTCTCCTTCCTCTGACACCTGTTGTGACAACATGCTGATCTCTGCCTTCCACAACCCTCTGGAGAAGCCAAGCCAGATCCTCCCCTATCCCCAGGAGATCTAATTTATCTCAAATGTTCTAAATCCACAGGACTACCACCAAGGTGGAGTGGCCCCCATCTGGTCTACTTGGCTACCCCTACAGTGGTCAAAGTTGCTGGACTCCCATCCTGGTTTCACATCACTCAGGTTAAGAGGTGCCCTCCCAGCCCTAAATCTGATCATTCTGAGTGGTCATCTCATCTTCTGTCGCTCACCTGTCTCTGTTTCACGAAGGCCTCGCAGCCACAGTTAACAGGCTAAGTCATGTTTTGTTATCCACTTTGGTTCCTAATTTCTTCCGTTCTATTCATGATCATTTCTACAGCAGGACTCTTGACAGTCTTTCCCAAAGACTCCCACATCATGCATAAGATCATCTTCATGATGCTCTATGCAATGACTGTGGTAGTTCTGTCTACCCTCAGCTGTCTGGTTAAGCGTGACATCCCTGAAAGCCTAAACTCTTCCCTTCCCTATACTGGTACAGCCACCCCCTTCCCTACTCCTCCTATTTTTTCCAGTTCATTCCTTGGACAGGCGACAGGTTTTACACACCTACCCTCTTAAGTTTATGCTTTCAGATGGGGGAGTAATCACCTCTCATAACATCACTCCTCCTAACCTCACACTTAATTTTCAGAATTCTACCTCACTGTGACAATGATCCTACCTCAATGTCATGCTGATATAATGACATGTCTAAATCAAAAGCACGTTTCCCTCTACCTCACCTGGCTCCTTAAATATGACAGTGCCATGTCTCCTCATAACATCATGTCTCTTTGTTTTTCCAGTCTAACATCCGTGCATTCACCAGTGATTTGTCCTGGCTAAACCACCTGGCACCAGAATCTACCTGGGCATCCACCACCACCCCATGGACTCCCCTAGACTCCAGTACAGCGCCACCTGCCAGCAGGAAATAGTTTTAAAAAATCTTCCCTCCTTTTCATAATAATAATCATAAGATGGCATATGAATGGGTTTTGGCCCAGACAGGACTCTGTAGCTAGAAAAGCCTCAAGGGGAACCAGGAAGCTCCTGTCTCCCCCACCCCTAGGAATTTACCTGTGATGTCCTCTTTCCCGCCCCTGGGAACTTACCTGTGCTGCCAAACCTACCACCAATGGGCTACCCGTGCATCCCTGATGCCGCCTTAGGTTCCACCCCAAACCGAGGCTACTTACACACCCCCGACACCTCGCGTCCGCCAGACAGAAAGCCAGACTCCAGCAGTGGGGTGCTGGTTCTCTCTCTCCCTGTTCTTAGAATAAAGGCCTCTTTTGTTTTATACTTCTCATTGTTTGGAAATAATCCTATCAGTTCTGCTGAGAGAAACTCAGGTAATCTAGAAACACGTGCCTTGGGGCCTGGGTGGAACAAAGGGAGGGCTCCGAATGTCACCCCCTTGGTAAGCCTGTGGGAATAGAGCTGCCATAGTTTAGTCAGCAGATAACAGACCCAGGTTTGTACTTGGAACTTTCCAACCATTTTTTTTAATGCTGAAAAAATAAGCTTCTACCTCTACTGCCTTAAAAAACTGATCACCACAGTCTTTTATTATCAGGATAAATGGAAAGGATCCTGTTTCCACAAGCAGTGGACCCTTGTCTTACAAACTCGTTCATTCTGAGGGCTGGTTGTAACTCAAACTGTTTGTAAGTCAAGATTATTTTTCTCATGAGAAAGAATGGAAATACCCATATTGCATTCTGAACCTCCCAAAGCACCCCTTAACAACCCTTTCATAATAAAAATGGTTGTATAATGTGCGTAATGTACCAGAAACACCAATTGTTTTCCCAGTGTATCCACTGGGAAGATATAAAATGTGCCTAGTTTACCAGAAACAACAGCTTCATACTGTACTCACTGAAAAATCTTTCCAAAAGATGAGAAGTATAAAACAAAAAGCGGCCTTTTTTCTTGAGGATATGGAGAGAGATGACCAGCACCTCCCACCACTGGCGTCCGGCAATCGCTCCTGCGGAACACGTGCAGTGAGGCACATAAGCAGCCTCGGTGTGGGGTGGAACCTAAGGGGGGCATTAGGGATGCACAGGTAGCTCTTTGGTCCTAGGACTGGCGCCATAGGTAAATTTCCAGGGTTGGGAAGATGGCATCACAGGTAAATTCCTAGAGGTGGGGGAGATAGGGGTTCCTGCTTTAGGTTGAGGCTTTCCTGACTACAGAGTCCTGTCTGGGCCACAACCCTTTCACTCACCTTCAAGTTGACATCTTTGGCTGGTGGAAAGGGAGGATGAAGTGGGAGGTGGGCATTGTTTGGAAGCAGAGTTCCTCTACAGCCTCAGGAATCTGTTCTCGGGTGTCTTTTCTCTCTTGGGAGAGTCTGCAGCCCACTAGGCCTTGTTTCTGGCTCATTAGGTCTCAGCCTTTTCAGAGCTAAAAACTGGCCTGTGTCTTTCTTTTCTTTTTGGTCTGGAGTATGAAATGACCTTGTCATTAACAAGTAAATAAGCGATTGGCTTTTTCTCTATCTGGTGGGCCTTCTCTACAAATGTTTAAAACTCTGTGCATTT